TGAATTTTGCTTCCACTTTGCACTAGAAATCTGGCTAAAAACAGCCAGCAGTACTCAATAACAGCCTGATGCTTATGCTGCCTTGAAATTTTCTCCATCATGTTAATTAGTCCATGTCCTTAAGCCCAGTCTCACACAGTTTAGAGCATGGACAAAATCTAGACAAATTCTTTGCCAGAATGTAACAGGCAAGGCCTGTGGTACAGTTCCTTAAAGAATTCCCTTGGCCTCTACCACATGCATTTTGGTCATGTGACCTCCAGTCAGACTTGCCCATCAGGTTCTGCTTATAGCATCTTGAGCTTGCTCTAGCTCACTTCTCTAAACTTCCCACAAATGAGTTACAAAGACTTTTGAATCCCCTGGTCAGGTACAGTCACTGCAGTCACCCCATTTCTCTGTTACCTATTTTCTGTATTGGTCAACTTGCCAAAATTTAAGGGAAAAGAATCTAATTTGGCTCATGGTTTCAGAGGTTTCATTCCATGGCTGGCTGATCCAAGGCAGGAGTGTCATGGTGGAAGGGCATGGTGGAGCAAAGCTTCTCACATCATGAAAGCTGGGAGGAAGAGCACAGTGAAAGAGCCTCTTGAGAGGAAAAGGCCAGGGACCCTATAGAGTCCCCAAGAACCTGCTACCACGACCCACTAAGACATACCCAGGAGTGTGCTTTACTGATCCCCTGTGGCTCTAAGTCCAGTCAAGGTGGCAGTCAGGATTAACTGACTCACCAAGACATTTGCCTCTTTCTCTTTTTTAAGAGCTGACAAGTTAATGTTCTTTCTTCCAAAATATCTTTTTTTTGGTACTGGGAATCGAACTCAGGACCTTGTACTAGCAAGGCAGGTGCGGCACCACAGAGCTAAATCCCCAGCTCAGTATTTTCTATCTTAATAATTTTCTTGAATACATTTTTGCAAAATGAGAAAATACCACACAGCACTAGAAAAAAATACTCTATTCTTTCCTAGCAATGGGAGATAATGCCTGTTAACATACTTGCATTGTTGTATTTCAGGATTTCTTTTCTGTGTGTCTGTAATGAGTTTCCCTCAAAGTTGCTTATTGTATACTTCTTGATGCTTGCTTTTCAGCTTTCCCCAAAGAACTCCTGTATACCTTAGAGGGCTTGAGGAGCCTCGGCGAAGGCAAGTATCCAGCTCTTTACAGTCATTGGATGAACTTGGTTTGTAGTAAATCGAAAAGCTTTGGTTATCATGACTATCAAAACAAAACTGGAAAGAACAATTTAAAGGAGTAAAAAGAAAAGATACAATTTGGGATGATTTTGTAGAGCACCGTTATAAATATTTATCAGATTTTAAACATTTTTTTACTTATTTCTGATATTCAGAGCAACTTGTTTCCCTTCTGCGAACTAATGACATATTTTTTAGCAAAACTGTGACAGAAAAATTAGTTACTGTAAATTTTCAAAATATAACAATCATCTGAAATACTTGGTCTGCAGGTAATTGCCTTTTCCATCTTTCACTCCTTCCCTTTCTTCCCTCTTCTTTTTAAAAAATTGTCTGTCTGTCTGTCTGTCTGATCTATCAGTTGGTGCTGGGGATCAAACTCGGGACCTTGCACTTGGGAGGCAGGCGGTGGCACCATTGAGCTAATCCCCTCTTCCCTCTTCTTGTGTCATTTTGCTGCCTTTTCTGTTCCTCTGTTTGTCTTGGATTACTTATAAGAACTTCACCTTTTAGAGAAGCTGAGTTAATAAAAAAGAGGCCAACACCTCTCTCTTAGCAAAATATAATGAGCTTTTCAGTTATACTTGTTTGCATTAAACCAAAGATTTAACTATAGTTAATTGGGAAATTTTTATAAATTGTTTGTAATAGTTACCTGAGCTTTATTTTCTTGGGGAAAAAATAGAGGAATCCTGAAAACACTTTGAGATTATCCAGTTTCTTCCTGTCAGCAGATTTATAGAGTTAATTACTAAGTGTTACCATCTTTGGTATTTTTCTATAAAGATGGCCTTAAAGATCTTCAGCAAATTTTAGGAACTTGGAAAACTCTGACCACAGATCTTGTTGGTGCTAATATTACATCAGTAATAGCTATAAGTATAGTACCATGTTAAATTTTATAATCAACATAATAGGTTGGTTATAAAAATGCTTAAAGCTTGGTATAGGTTTCTGTCGAGCTCCCTGCTATATAAGCCTATGCCAGTTAGTATAATTAAGTTAAGTTCTGTATCTAGAAATCTTGGACTTCATTACATTCAATTACCTAATCTTTGCAGCTGTGAAGAGGGCCTTGGTTCGGAACCCTTAGCTTAGAGAGTGATCCTGTTTTAGATTTTCCTAGGGAATGCTAGTATTCTTTATAACTGATCATCTTTTCAGAGTAGTTGAAAATAAATGATATGCAAATGCTAGTGAAATCTAGGATGAAGTTACTGATGCCGTATTTACAATGTGCTATATTCTCCACTTTTTAAAATAGGAAGCAAACAGATGGTCATTTGATTTGCTTAAGACTATCTAAAGAAATAGACTTGCTGAATAAAAAATTCTAATACTTTTGTACATGAGATAAGTTTCTCAACTAACCTTGACACCATTCTTTTATTCATGGTATCTTTTAATCTCATGGGATCAACTTATTTTATACATTTACAACAGTAACAAAAATGAATTATATTATTTAATGCAATGCAAATAAGGAAAAAAACTCCTGCTGCTTTGACATAGCCTGTGTTCTCAGTCTGGTTAAACAGCTCAGTGTAAGAAGAGATTAGTTGAGCATCCTGCTTACAATTCCTTTTCTCTCTGAGGACATTAGAAATAATTCAGTATCACTCATGAGGAAGGGGGCGCATAATTAAATGCACTATTGGCAACATTTCTAACCACAAGTTGCTCACAGAAACTGCACTATAGACCAATAAATCATTAGTAAGAGTTAAGGGTTTCTTTCCTGGCTTTCCCAAAGGACAGAGACAAAAAAAAAAAAAA